CTGTCAGTAATTCAACTAACATTCATACACTGGCTTCCATCTTCAAACTCCATTCAAGAAACATCATCAGAACAGGAAGAGGGATCATCAACTTAAAGCTAAAGAGATCAATTATAAAAGATCCAACTCAATCCATATGTCATTTGGCACATGAGAGAGTAATTTTAGCTATGACAGTCTAAAGAGTCGTGAAAAAAGACTCAATGAAATTGTACGTGAAAAATGTGAGGCACCTCGTTACTCCAGGACAGAAAGTTAGAAGGTTAGAGAGGGCGAATATCATTTAGAATAAGTTTTGAAAATAGAATAAATATATATATTATATAAATGATATATAGAATATATATATATATATATATATATATATATATATATATATATATATATATTTGATCTTTAATTCAAACCTTCATGAGCTTCCAATCCTTAGCTGTGACTAATTAATGATGAATATGTCATTTTCATTTATGATCGATTTAATCAGGATTTTTCTGTTAAGCTTATTGCTCAAGTAGAGTCCAATAGTGTTATGAAACTTCGGATAATTCCGGTAAAATATATTTAATCATTTCTATGATACAACGGTTCAAATCTTTATCTACCAAATGGACAATTACACGATTTGGACAATTTTGCTGTTACACCCGTATATATATATATATATATATATATATATATATATATATATATATATATATGAAGAAATATAGTCTTAAGATGTGCTATATTTATGGGATAAAGTGCTCAATATCATAGATAGAGCGTGTGTAAATATAAAAGTGAACATAGAAGTCAAAACTTAGAGGCGATAGTCTGTTTCATGCTAGATGCAATCGTCAGGCCAGATGCAATCGTCAGGCCACCTGATATATATATATATATATATATATATATATATATATATATATATATATATATATACAAGTATATAATTGGTATATACGGAATGAATTCCAATAACCAACAATTACTATTCTTAAAAGAGTGCTCAATACAAAGTAGAGCAGATATAATTATTTTTTTTAAAAAAAAATTTATAACATAAATATATTATAAAATCACTACAAAAATAGCTATTTTGTTTCAACACCCTCGGTGTCTTATCAAGTGATGATGTTGAATATAAAATAAATAGTTTTAAAAGATTCAAATTAATTAACGATCCTTCGCTAGGGGAAAACATTGTTACAAAAGCTAGAATGACCAATCAAAACCCAAGTATAGGAAGATTCAAAAGCTTGACAACGAAATCATGTTATAATAGCTATTCATATCTTTAAAATACGGGCAATATTAAAAAAGAATTTATTCTAACCAATAATTATTAAATTATATGATAAAATTTGATATTAAAACTAAAAACTGCCAATTTTAAAATCCAAATTTAATCACTATTAAGTTTAAAAACTATAAAATTACTGAGGAGAAAAGGAAAAAAATACATATGTTATTCAATTTATTTCTTCGTTGAAATTACGTTAGAACAGACGCTACAATATCCGGTCATCCGACAATACATGTATATATATTTTAATCCCAAGTATGTGAATGGGGTCTTAAACTCACGCGCAAAACAACACAAACACAATCAGATTATAATACATAAGCACCCAGACATATTTAGATATATATACACGCAAAAAAGCGACGAGACAGGAACATCTCCACGGCCCTTTATGAAAAAAAAAGGAAAGGAGGAAACCAACACCTACACACACACACAATTAAAAGTGAATGCACTTTCCATACACATAGACACCGATAAATACATGTACACACCACCACAGACATAGACCTTGACAATATTTAAGACTGAAAGTATCATTAAACAAATGCTAGCCACTTATTAAAATATAACTTAAGCGAGCAAATATACAAAGATAAAAATGGTTAAAAATAATATTATTTAATATATTAAAACGAAAATTCCAAAAACCACAAATATCAATAAAAACATATATTTAAATCATATAAGTTGATAATAGTTTTATTATATATTAGGCGAAGGAAAACAGGATAAAAAGAAAACCTACAGAAATAAGTGTACTGTCATACGTATATATATGTATACACATATATACACGCGGCAGCAAACACAAACTAACACACATATACATACATACATACATATATATATATATACATATATATACACACACAGAAATACATACATATAAATATATAAACATATACACACATATACATATCTATGATGACAAGTACACATACACATACATGCATATAAACATATATACACACATATATACACACATTTATGCACACATACTCACATATATATACATATATATACACGCACCAATACACATATGAACATATATACACACATAGAATAACTACTGTGGCAGTGATGACATACCAAAGTTTCCATACCTACACAGACACACAAACAATCTCATATATAATAGATGTCAACACACACATATACATCCAAAAACATACATATATATACACATATATACATATCAACATATAAATATAT